AGCGAACAGACTCAAGTAGATAGATAGATAGATAGATAGATAAACATACTGAGATAGAAAGATAGCTAAGGAACAGACTCAAGTCATAGATATGAAGTGAGATAGATACATAGATAATCAACACATTGACAATGATAGATAGATAGATAGATAGATAGATAGATAGATAGATAGATAGATAGATAGATAATGAACAGACTGAGATAAATAGACAGATAACGAAAAGACTCAAGCTGATAGAGTGATAGCGAACAGACTCAATATATAGATAGATAGATAGATAGATAGATAGATAGATAGATAGATAGATAGACTGTATTAACATACTGAGACAGAAAGATAACGAAGAGATTCAAGTAGATAGATAATGGACATGAACAGACTGAGATAGACACATAGATAATGAACACACTGACAATGATAGATAGATAGATAGATAGATAGATAGATAGATAGATAGATAGATAGATATTTCGTCGACGGTCGGCACTGTAAGTACAGTGCCTTGCAGAAGTATTCACACCTTTTGAATCTTTCGATATTTTGTCGTGTTACCAACTGGGAATCAAATTGACTCAGATAGTCTTTTTCACTCTTTGATTAACCCAAATTGTAGTGTGCTTTGAACATGCAAAATACATTTTACAGTGGCTATTTGATTTATAGCCAATCACCTGTCAGCCATCACCATGTCGTGGCCACGATCAATGTTTTCATCGGTGGAATTTGGATGCATAAATATCTTCCCCCGCCCAAGTCAATACCGCTGCAAGTCTTTTGGGAAGAGGCGTACCAAAAAGACTTTGCAGTTGGAATTTTCTTTACCAAAGAACTTAAGTTCAATCAGATTGGATGGCATCTGGGTATGAACACCGTTTTTTAAGCCTTGCCATAGATTTATTGGATTTTTCGTCTGGGTTTTGATTGAGCCATTCTAACACATTAATATGCTTTGATCTAAACTATTCGATTGTACATTATTTACATTGCTCGGGCTATCGTCCTCATCTTTGTTGCTATATTTACCACAACGTTTCGGCCATTGTACGCTCCAGCCTTCTTCAGGTGGTTGGAATGTCGAACTGAACCCTTTATTTTGTTCGCTGGGGTAGACTGTTCCAGTTCCACGTGCCATGTCTAATGGATGTCAGTTATTAGTTATCTCCTGTTAATTCCCCTCTCCAAGCTCTCCACTGCCTTAATCAGGTATTGAACTCACAACTCTTTGGGTTCTGTCACTGGATCTAACTAACGCCTTTATCCACTGTGTCTTGTTTTTTTTTCTTTCTTTAGGTCAAGCTCAATCAGATTGGATGGTGTCTGCCTATGAACAATATTTTTTTAAATCTCACCATAGATTCATTGGATTTTTGGTTTTGGGCTTTGAATAGGCCATTGTAATATGCTTTGATCTAAATTATTCTATTATAGCTCTGTTTCTATCTTTAGGGTCTTTGTCTCGCTGGAAGTTCAGCATCCACCCCAGACTCAAGTCATTTGCAAACCGTAACAGTTTTTCCTCATGTATTTAGCTCCGTCCATCTTTCCATGAACTCTGACCAGCTTCTCTGTCCATGCTGAAAAAAATCCCTCCCCCCTTACAACATAATGCTGCCGCCATTATGTTTCACGCTGAGGATGATGCGCTGAGAGTGATGGGCAGTGTTAGATTTCCGACACATATAGCATTTCGCATTAAGGCCAAAAAGTTCAAACTTTATCTGACCTGACCAGGGTACCTTCTTACCCATGTTTTCTGTTCCTCAGCCATCGCTTGTGGCTAACTTATCTTTTTCTTTCAACGATGCTTTTCTTCTGTCTATATTTCTGAGATGAGGTACTATGTACACTATTTACATTGTTCGGGCTATCGTCCTCATCTTTGCTGCTATATTTATCACAATGTTTCGGCCATTGTACGCTCCGGTCTTCTTCAGGTGGTTGGAATGTCGAACTGAACCCTTTATTTCGCTCGCTGGGGTAGACTCTTCTAGTTCCACGTGCCATGTCTATGTGGAAGACAACAGCATTCGGAGAAAATACAGAGGATCTGCGGTCCATATAACATCAGGACAATCTTCAAAAGCTGGACGACACTTCGCAGATACCTCTCCCGAGTAAGCCCCCCCCCCATAGAGGAGAACATGACTAAAGACTGTGTACGCCATCCCGTGCAGAAAGAAATATAAAGGAGAGACAGGCCGCCCCCTTAAGGTAAGAATACCAGAAAGCTGTAACTCTAGGGGAAGTGAAAAACATCAGGCATGGCTGACCATATATGGAGAGAAAAGGGAGATCACCGCCCTCTGTGGGATCAGTTTGAAATCATAGACAAAGAACATCATTGGAAAATTCGTAAACTTAAGGAATCAGCACATATGCTAGGCCACAATCTCCTGGGCCGACCAAAAATAGAAATGAATACAATATGGGAACCAGTAATAAGGAGTGCCAAAGAAAACGATAATAACAACGAAAATTGTAATATGAACTCTGGTAAAAAAAAATGCAATGATAACAGTAAAAAATTGCAATAAGATCAAGTTTTTTTTAGTGCTTCTATTTATTAACTGTGAAAATGCCATGCTTGGAAAAAAATCTATTTCATATTTTTTACAGTGATGTTCACCCTGTACAAGGCCTGAGAGCCACTCGAGGTAGAGGGTTACAAATTAAGAGTCATGGCTTTTGCGGATATTTCTGGGAGATAACGGTTAACTCTAGACATGAACAAATTAAGATTGCAGTGGTCAGAGAAGCAACCTTACTGGAGTCGGTTCCACAAGGCGTGGCTTCTTTGTGGGAAGAAGCTGCTCGAGAGGTACTTATAGCTCACCAAGGGGTTACGATAGAAACGGGGGGGGGCGGTTCGCTACAATATGCCTGGCATGGTGTAGATAAATATGAACAGTTGTGGTAACTATTTCAGAAAATAGGGTTTCTTTCTGAAAACTTTATGAATCCACCTGTGATTGGGGGCTTCTTTTATTTGTTATACCAGCTGAAATAAACAGGTAGTGTTATTACACGGTGGAGTAATGGATAGCGGCTGGAATTGAGGAATCAGAGAGCCGAGTTCGAATTCCAGCTGAATCAATTGAATTCAATTACGTGCTAATACCCTTGGGAAAGATATAAACCCTCTTCTTTTTCCCCCAGCTATGGGAAAATAGCAGGACAGACAGGGTTCTATAGCTTTGGATGGCAACTGGTCTACCTCAGAAATAAATGACAACCTACTGCGGGAAAAAATCTGTCTCGTCAGTCATGTATCGAAAGATACATGATCGCCTAAGCGTGTATCACGCATGGCACATAACTGACTAACCCGTGGAGTAATGTTATATCGGCTTGGATTGAGGAATCAAAGAGCCGAGTTCGAATTCCAATTGAATCCACTTACGTGCTAATACCCTTGGGAAATGTATGAATTCTCTCGCCAGCTATGGGCAAATAGCAAGAAAGACTGGATTCTTGGATGACATCTACCGAAGTATGAAATGTCAACCTACTAAGGGACAAAAATCTGCCTCGTCAGTCATGTATCGAAAGATACATGATCGCCTAAGCGTATATCACGCATGGCACATAACTGACAACACTCGTATATATATATATATATATATATATATATATATATATGCGGGCGTGTGCATTTGTGCTTGTGAGTGTAACGAAACATTTCTATTTGGTCAGTGCCATATGAGGGATAATACTGATTTGTTTGTATTTTCTTACAGAATTTGTCCAACGCTATTTCTCTGGTTCTTAGATCCGATCTTTATCTGCTTTGAAATCAGCCGATTAGCGCAAATGATTTCTGCTTTTTTTTTTTAGCTTTTTTAAATATGTTTCTTTCTTTGATTTCCTATAATCATTCAACAGTTTAAATTGAAATGTTTTCCTTGCGCGGGAATATTACGTCCAGATGGTCGGTTTTACAGATGAGATTTTCTCTTGATAAAACTTAAGAGAAAAGTGGGAGGGAAAGGAAAAATGCAGATGAAAGGACCGGGGACATCGAGAGGAGGAGTTTGAGCATTGGGAGGATAAGGAAGAGGAAAGAAATCTTACACATACATCTATCTATCTATCTATCTATCTATCTATCTATCTATCTATCTATTATTGCCACTTCACATTTAGATACCTATCTATCACTGTCAATATCTATCTATCTATGCGATCTGATCATATCTATCTTTCATAGTCTTTCCAAATCTATATATCTTTTCGATGTCATCTGATTATATCTATCCATCTAACTATGCCTATCTATCTATCTATCTATCTATCTATCTATCTATCTATCTATCTATCTATCTATCTATTGAGTCAGTATCTATCTATCTGTCTGTCTATCTCTATCTATCTCAGTTTATTCATATCTATCTCAATTTGTTCATATCTATCTATCTATCTATCTATCTATCTATCTATCTATCTATCTATCTATCTATCTCAGTTTGTTCACATCTATCTATCTATCTATCTATCTATCTATCTATCTATCTATCTATCTATCTATCTCAGTTTGTTCATATCTATCTATCTATCTATCTATCTATCTATCTATCTATCTATCTATCTATCTATCTATGTTTGTTCAAAACTCTCAAGGTCTCTGTTTTAGTTTGTTTATATTTTTAATTATTTCACTCCATATAAGGCGATAATGCCACTAACACTTAAAGATAAAAGAGAAATAAACGACTTTAGTGAGGAAAAAAGACAATAATAATCTATCTATCCAACGATTGAAAAATATCAATAAATAAAAGGCAACTCAACTCTTTCTGTAGAATGTTTTGTCACGAGATATATGCTAAAATAGTAAATTTTAAAAATGATAGAAATATAGAAATAATTAATTATATATATATATATATATATATATATATATATATATATATATATGTGTGTGTGTGTGTGTGTGTAAAACTGTATGGTAAAACGTAAGGTGTCGAAAGACAAATATTTCTAAAAACTGATAATGATTGTCAAAGAGATGAAGGAGGAAGAAAAAGAAATTCATGGGTGAAAAGAAAAGGAAAAAGAAAAGAGAAACTTAAAACAAATAAAGAAAAAAGATGATGGGGACTCAAAAGTGACAAATGATGTATAAGTGGAAACCGTAATAGAAGGAGAGAAAATGAAAGAAAGAAAGAAAGAAAGGAAAAAGAAAGAAAGGAAAAAAAAAGAAGGAAAGAAAGAAGGAAAAGAAAGTTAGAAAATAAAAGGCATAGAGAAGACTCTCCAGTGAGAAACAATGAACGAACGAAAGAAAGAAAGAATGAAAAAAAGAAAAAGTAGAATATAAAAGACTTAGAGAAGAAGACTCAAAAATGAGAAGCAATGAACAAAATAAATAAATAAATAAATAAAGAAAGAAAGAAAGAAAGAAAGAAAGAAAGAAAGAAAGAAAAAAGAAAACAAAAAACAAACACAGTGAAAAGAAAGAGGAAGGGAAGAATAGTAAGAAAATGTTTTTAAGAAGAAAGAAAGAAAAATAGGAGATAAAAAGCGCAGAGAACAAGAATAAAGAAAGAAAGAAAGAAAGAAAGGAAAAAGAAAGAAAGAAAGAATGAATGAATGAAAGAAAGAAAGAAAGAAAGAAAGGAAAAAGAAAAGAATGAAAGTTAAAAGATAAAAGACATCGAGAAGAAGAGTATGCAGTGAGAAACAATGAACGAAAGAAAGAAAGAAGAAAGAAGGAAAGAAGGAAAGAAAGAATGAATGAATGAATGAAAAGTTACAATATAAAAGGCTTAGAGAAGAAGAGTAAAAAATGAGAAGCAATGAACGAAATAAATAAATAAAGAACGGAAGAAAAAAGAAAGAAAGAAAACAAATACAGTGAAAAGAAAGAGGAAGGGAAGAATAGGAAGAAAATGTTTTTAAGAAAGAAAGAAAGAAAAAATAGGAGATAAAAAGCACAGAGAACAAGAGTAAAGAAAGAAAGAAAGAAAGAATGAAAGGAAAAAGAAAGAAAGAAAGAAAGAAAGAAAGAAAGAATGAATGAATGAATGAAAGAATGAAAGAAAGAAAGAAAGGAAAAAGAAAGAAGGAAAGACTAAACGATAAAAGAAAAAAAAGCACGAGAAGAAAGATACAAAAACTAAGGAAAGAATAATGAGAGATAAAGAAAGAGAGAATGTAAGAGACAGACGACCAAACAAAATGGGAAGAAAATAAAATCGAAAGGAACAAGACGCGAAAAATGGTAAAAAAATTATTATTAAGAAGAAAAGAATCAAGCAAGAAAGAAAGAAAGATGAAGGATATTTAAAAACAAGACAAATTCGCAGAGAGAGAGAGAGAAAGAGAGAGAGAGAGAGAGAGAGAGAGAGAGAGAGAGAGAGAGAGTGAGTGAGTGAAAGGGTGGAATAAAGAGAAAAACAAATACATTTAAAAATTAAAGAGTGACATAACAAAAGAAAGAGATACTCAACGGAAGTTCAGGTCTTGGAATAAATCAGGCCGGTAAACTACGGTAAAATTCTTTTTTTTCCCTCCGCTTTAGATACAATCCTTTTCGATAATCCAATAATCTTCTTTGCTTAATTTGAGCTTTCCATCGTCCTTTTCTCTCAACACCATTACTGATTTTTTAAGAACTTTAACTTGAAATAATTTCACCTCATTCACATCAGCTCAAATAATTCTAAATCATATATCAACTGTAATATTCACATAGGCATCTGCAATGACCCCCCGTTTAACATTAAAGGTTGATCATAATTATTTGGTTGGAATAAAATCAAAAGTACGTGGCGTTTTATTTACATTATTCGGACTATTGTTCCCATCTTTGTCGCCATATTTATCACAACGTTTCGGCCGTTGTACGCTCCGGCCTTCTTCAGGTGGTTGGAATGTCGAACTGAACCGTTTATTTCGCTCACTGGGGTAGACTGTTCTAGTTCCACGTGCCATGTTTTGATGGATGTCAGTTATCAGTTATCTCCTGTTAATTCCCTTCTCCAAGTTCTCCACTGCCTTAACCGGGTATTGAACTCACACACTTTGGGTCCTGTCGCTGGCACAGTGGATAAAGGCGTTGGTTAAATTCAGTGACAGGACCCAAAGAGTGTGAGTTCAATACCCGGTTAAGGCAGTGGAGAACTTTCAGAGAGAAAATTAACAGGAAATAACTGATAACTGACATCCATTAAAACATGGCACGTGGAACTAGAACAGTCTACCCCAGTGAGCGAAATAAAGGTTCAGTTCGACATTCCAACCAACTGAACGGCGTACAAAGGCCGAAACGTTGTAATAAATATGGCGACAAAGATGAGAACAATAGTCTGAAAAATGTAAATAATGTACATAATACCTCATCTCAGAATGACAGATACGTAGCGTTTATTTAATAGGTAGTTGTAGGAGATGGGATTTTGTTTCGCACGTGACTGAAATTTGGGACATATATACATATTCTTAAAGGTGACATGAGGTCAACACGCATTTCCATACGACTCGTGTGTGCATCTTGAATACAATCGGAAGAAAGAGGAAGGGAAAAATAGTAAGAAAGTGTGTGTGTATTTTGAAAATGGACGAAAATGTAATGCATTTTTCTCATTTGATATTTTTATCACGGAAAGAAAAAATGCTATCAAACAGCAAAAACGATGTGTGCCGTTTATGGAGATGGTGCCATAACAGAGATTAGTGTTCGTAATTGGTACGCTAGTTTTAGAAGTGGAAATATTGATCTGAAAATACAAGAATATTACGGAAACTACTACTACCATTACTATCTATCTATCTATCTATCTATCTATCTATCTATCTGTCTGTTATGGTCCAAGGTTAGGACCATGGAAGAACACCACGGAACACAAGAGTAGAGATAACAAAGAATATATTACACGAAAAATAATACAAGAAGTGAAAAGGGTTAGTAAGACTGTCCGACTTTGGCGTGACTGCTATCAGCTCGACTCGATTGAATACCGTCCCAATACCTAATCCGTTCGTCTCTCATGAGAGGCGTAGTATGTATAGCGTTCGGCAGAGTTCATTCTGACGGTCTAGGTAGGCACCATGACACTATCTATCTATAGGAGGCACGGTGTATTGTTAGATAGCAGCTGAGATTAACGAATCGGGGAGCCGAGTTCGAATTCCAATCGAATCCATTATATTCACTTACGTGCTAATACCCTTGAGAAAGCTTATTAGCACGTAAGTGAATGTAATGGATTATTCTCCCCCCAGCTATGGGTAAATAGTAGGACAGACCGGGTTCTATAGCCTTGGATGGCAACTGGTCTACTGGAAAAAGAAATGGCAACCTACTGAGGGAAAAATATGTTTTGTCAGTCATATATCGAAAGATACATGATCGCATAAGCGTGTAACACGCATAGCACATAACTGACTTATCTATCTATCTATCTATCTATCTATCTATCTATCTATCTCATTATATTTATGATCTATCTATCTATCTAGCTAGCTAGCTAGCTAGCTAGCTCCCAATCTATCTATCTATCTATCTATCTATCTATCTATCTATCTAAAAGCATAGACTGAAAATTTTAAAGACTGACTATGAATGGTACATTTGTGAAAAAATCTTGCATATATTAAGTTCAATTCTTCTTATTAATAACTACATTTTTTTCATTCCAGGTAAACTGACACCTGAATGTTCAAAAATAACTTCAAACATAGCTAGTAGCGACTTCTCTTGAAAATGGACAAAATTTGGCATCGTGGAATTATCAAGTACGTATAGAATAAGAGATTATCTCCAAGGACATTCATGCTGACAGTATTGCTACATTAGGGGATAATCCCACAGCTTTATCAACAGTGCAAAAGTGGGAAGATGAATTTAGGAGAAGATGGGAGAGTGTTGAAGATGACCCAAGATATGGATGTTCTAAAACTGCTAACAGCGAGGAAAACATTAATCGTATTCACCACATGGTGATGGGTGACAGGCGATTGACTATAAATCAAATTGTCAATACTATTAGCAGTGAGTGAGATGAGAATATTCGGCACAATGAATTTGGCATGAAGAAGGATTCTGCCCGGTCAGGGTCACCTCTTCTGTCACTTGATTAAACGCGCACCAGACATAGTTTGAGGTAGATCCAGCGGATTTCCTCGAATCTTTCTTAACACAGGATAAGTGTTGGGTTCATCAGACAAAGAGATTATCCATGCAGTAGTAAGAGGCCTCCTCATCTGCTCCAAAGATGGCCAAGGTAGTTTCATTTTCAGGGAAGGTGATGACTTCATTGTTTTTTTTAAATGCAAAGGGCATTGTGTTTAATACCTATCTTCAGAAAGACTACACCGTCCGTGGAGAATCCTACGCCATCTTGCTGAGGTAGTTACGAAAGGCTATCAAGAGCAAACGCCTAGGAAATCTAACGAAAGAAGTCTTGTTTCATCAAGACAACGCTCCAGCAAACACGTCCTTGGTTTTAATGGCTGCTGTGCCTGGCTGTGGCTATGAACCAGTTGATCTCTCTTCTTGTTCTCTTGAATTGACTGTCATTTGTTTAACAAGATGAAAAAAAAAACACTTGGTCGAGAAGCTGTTTCCTCAGATCGAATATTGACTCTTTTAACCAAGAGAATGAACAGACTTCTTTGAATAGTCAAATGTCAGGTTAACTGGAAATAAAGATAAATATAGACATTAATTGGAAGAATTGAATTAAAATAATAAATTTTCATCTATCTATCTATCTATCTATCTATCTATCTATCTATCTATCTATCTATGCCTTTATATGTCTATCTATCTATCTATCTATCTATCTATCTATCTATCTATCTATCTATCTATGCCACCTGACCATATCTGTCTATATATATCTATCTAGCTGTGCCACCTGATCATATCTATCTATCGATCTCTGCCATCTATCTATCTATCTATATATCTATCTATCTATTATTGCCATTTCACATTTAGATACCTATCTATCACTGTCAATATCTATCTATGCGATCTGATCATATCTAACTTTCATAGCCTTTCCAGATGTATATATCTTTTCCATGTCATCTGATTATATCTATCTATCTATCTATCTATCTATGCCACCTGATCATATCTGATCATATCATATCTATGGTATCTGAAGTATGCCATCTGATCTATCTATCTATCTATCTATCTATCTATCTATCTATCTATCTATCTATGCCATCTGATCATTATCTATCTATCTATCTATTTATCTATCTATCTATGCCATCTGATCATATCTATCTATCTATGCTATCTGATAATTATCTATCTATCTATCTATCTATCTATTTATCTATCTATCTATCTATCTATCTGTGAGTATGTATGAATTTATGTAAGTCTTTATCTATAGATATATTCTTATATTTAGCAGATAAATTTAAATACGTACGCCACTCTCCTGTCTCATGAGACCCTTAATCTTCCCAATCAAAATTTCACAGTTCCCGTTTCCCTTTTACTCCTGATTAGACAAACCCCATAAAAAAAAGTCATGGCGACATAATTGTGCACATACTGCACATAATCAGCCGTAGATTTTCAGTTTGTTCTTTTTTTATTCTCTTCTTCCTTCATTTGTCTTACGTTCAAATGCACAAAACAAGGAAGAAACTTTTCAAATAAAAAAAGGAACGAAGTAAAAAAAATAAGTATTGCAATCGCCTCTTTTTACAGATCTTTTTTTTTTAATCAACTCCTCTTTATTCGTCAAAAAGCCTGGGACGTGATAATAATACATTCTTAAATGTAAATCATTTTTCCTTTCCCTGCGATTAATGTTTTCAGCTATTTTGATTTTTAATTAAAGTTCACGTTACTAATCGGTACAGAAGTTACGCTTCGGTAAATTCTACGCCAAAGAATTGGCAAATGCTGCATGCCATTTTTTTTCTTTTAAATTTAAGCGACAATAAACTTAATGATTTATATGCTAATGACGAAGGATATAATGAAAACAATTTTTGGAAAATGCGCATATGTTTATCAATATTTATACATTTTTTATAAAATTTTCGATTTTTATTCACTTCACAAAAATCCGCATTGATTCTCGGTGTAGTATCTTTTCTTTTTTTTATACAGGGTGGGCCAAAAGTAGATATAAGCTATATATATATATATATATATATATATATATATATATATATATATATATATATATATATATATATCTTACTTATTATAAAACGCAGATTGTGTGTGTGTGTGTCTGTAACGTTTATATATTGGATCGGATTTCCTACATTTTTCAACCGATTTCAACAAAACTTCACAGGACTACATAAAATTACCTTGTGGTGGTTCTAACAGCGCCAAAACTGGGAAAAATATAACTGTTTTTGCACAAAATCAATTTGAAAACACGATTAAGAGACATCGTGAAAATGGAAGAGGGACAACT